ATGCCGAAGAGCTAGGAGGCTAATATTTTTACCATATAGTTAGGGCATTAAGGGCTTCAATTGCTGAAACTTTCAGCTTGATCGGAGAAGGTCACTGTATGAGTGGGAGATTCCTGGTGGAACTACCCATATATTAAAATCATCACCAGATAATCAAAATAATCATACCAATACGGATATAACAATTACTTTATTCTCAGATAATGATCAACAACAAAACAACGAATCTTCATTATTATCATTACATACAAATAATAATCATTCAAAATATAATTGTCATTCTTTCATATTCGATATTTATTTCGTATTTGGAATATTATTTTTTATTTTTATTTGCTCACCACTTCAATTTACCAATCCTATATTTACTTTGTACCCTTCTATCATACGCATGGGACCATTCATTTCTTTCATTATGTGTACATATCTGTATCTATCAGTTAAATATCCCCTATCATTAACATCCAGACTGTTAACAACATCATTATTCATCAATATGGGTGAAATTTCATATGCATTTTATTGTTTAGCTGAAACATTACCCAAAGTATTCTTATTGATAACAGGTATACATCAACAAAGTCTAATTATGAAATTATTTGCTGGTATTGGAAGAGCCGTATTTGCTCGTCATAATATTGAATTACCTTTTTATACATGGGCAAATAAGAAATTACCAAAATGTCAATGTACATAAAACCCATATACAAACAAGAGACTTAATTTTTATTTTCAATTATATAAATAAATTTCTTTTTGTAATATGCTTATTTGTTTGATAACAATAAAGATAACTTTGATTATTATGATAGTAGAAAAAGAGCAACAATCAAAAATATATTGTTTAAATGAGTATAATTCTAATGATTGTGTCAATATTTTCACTTATATTATAGATTGTTGGAAAAATTATGTAAATAGTAAAAATGTATTAAAAAATTTGGATGAGTTTTAGAATGAAAATGAAAAGCGAAATTCATTAGGTAATTTTTTATCAACATTATTGAGACGAAATATTGCTTTAATATTTCTTTAGAGGTGGGGCAATGAATACAAGAACAGAAAAATTTAATTTATTTAGATGAATCAGAATTTGAACCAAGAACTTCTTTTTCTATGGGAACAATTTTTTCGAATTATTCAAATTAATAAATAAAATGATTTTTATCGTGTTAGATTAATTTTAACTAATTATGCAATTAATACATCTCATTCATTATTAAGATAAATATATCAATTAGGACAATTTGAAAGTGTTGATCGTTTTGCTGAGGTTCTTCATGATGATAGTGCAATGTCAGTTTATCTAAATTTAATTGCTGATATTCATCATATGTTAATAAATCACTTAATATTTATTTAGCTTCTGTGCAAGCAAATCATCTAAGATTATCGTCCACTTATAGCTGTATTGATGTTGTTGATTGAGGATAATCAGATTATGAGAAAGCCTTGAAATTTTATCAATTAGCTTTGGATTGTCAAATAAATTCAACAGACTCTGATCTCTCATCAGTCGTTCTCTATACAACCAATGTTGTAATAATGGATGTAAGTTGATCTTCTGTGTATATTCTCACACTTACATCCACTCTCACTATCTTCAATCGCGATATATAAGCATTTTACGTAAGCTCTCTTGTTGATGCTTGAAAACAA